TGAGATGATATTTAAAATGTATGTTATTTCTTATCAAAAAAAAAAAATGTATGTTATTTAATTTTTGAAATACACAGATTAAAATACATATATTTAAATATATTTATATTTTATAAAAATAAATAGCATACTTGATTTTATAACCCCAAATTCAAATACACTCCTTTGAAATTTTCTATTAAATTCATGGGCATGAGATGATATTTAAAATGTATGTTATTTAATTTTTGAAATACACAGATTAAAATACATATATTTAATTATATTTATATTTTATAAAAATAAATAGTATACTTGATTTTATAACCCCAAATTTAAATACACTTTTTTCAAATTCATATTTTCAAACAGAGTATTAATCAATTCGGTTGAATGGTTAAGGGTAGTGTTATAGGGTAATATTTTTATATTATTTTTGATACAATTTTTACGTGTCATTAAATGAATGGATATATTTAATATCGCAGATTTCACATGAATAAAAAAATTAATTATTTAAATAACATATCAAATTATATCAAAAAATAATAAAAAAATTATACCAAAATCATTTCCTATTGTTTAAAGCCTAGCAAAACTTAGTAGGGGCTAAAATTTTGTAACAATAATGTTACTGTACTAATCATGTTGAGTTAAAATTCTTGAATTTATTGTAAATAATTGTCGTTTTCTAAGTTTAAAATTTTTTATATCAATACTCAAAACAATTAATTTTTTACATACATAAAACCATTATAAGTGTAATTTTTAAATTATCCGAAGAGAAAATAATATTAAGATATATAAAAATCAAATAAAAAATACCAAAAGAAACTAAGTAGAATACACATGAAATAAGAAGTCATGTATTTTACCAACGACAAAGCTAGTAGTAAAATAAATACAACGTAGCTAAAATGCGAAGAATTGCTTCCTTCAAACCTCTCATAAATTAAAATTATACTAGTAATTAACATTTTGGGGAGTGTATCTATTTACAAATCACACCACAACTTTTGTGAATAATTTCTATTTACATACTTCATAAAGCCAAAATTTTTTTAATTAAAAATTTCGGTGATGTAACCAATCACCTATTTTTTCTTTAAAAATAAAAGGTCAATAAAAGACACTAAAAGGGCATAAGAGCCGCCATGGGCAGTTTGTTTCTATCTTGAAGAAGAAAATATAAGGCA